CGCTCTCACATCGCGCATCGGTTCGCCTCGCCACGGCCGTCGAGTGGCCGCTGGACTCGAGGACACAAACCAGTGCGTGTGCGTGCTTGTGCGTGCTTGCGTGCACCGTAACTAAAAAACACCACCGAAACCGATCCATCAGTGGGTAACTACCAATAATTCGCAACTCAGCAATGCGTGTTTGGTTGCTTTTCGGGAGCCCCGCCTCTCTGCCCCCTTCCCCCGTACGCCTCGCCTCCTCATCCCGGCCTTTCTCCCCCGTCCCACCCTTCGAGTAACACCAATGGCCCCTCCGCCTCTCCGCGAGAGGGGCTGGAGGAAGAGGAAAGGGGAGGGGGCGAGAGAGCGTCGGAAGGGCTGATGTGTCTGTTCTCACCGCACCGCAGACAATCGATTTTATCGAGTGGGCGCATCGCAGTGGCGGGAAAGGGGAGTTAAAGTCGGAACGAAGGAGCAGATTGGCGGGGGCTCCCCAACCCACCCCCACCCCCCCACTCCTCACGATGTTGACTGCCCTGAATATGCCCCTGCTCAGGCTCGGCAGCATCACGTTGATTGTAAGCGCGCGGGAGTCTTTTTGTACTCACTTCTTGAGAAGGCGGCTGAGGTATTCCAGAGGCGAGGACAGCTTGGGGCCGTTTCAGTTTATTCCACGGCAGAAAGGAAAGCTGGCGACGAGCTGTGAAAGTACTCTAAAAGTTAGAGAGGAAAGCTTCCTCGAAAAAGAAAAGTAATTTTGCCATATGATTCTCACTGAAACGCGAAATGCCCCCCCCCCCTCCTCTTTTTCCAATTTTCTGCTGCCCCATTTCTATTCCAGTGCGCATCCCATAGCAGGAGAAAAGCAAACAACCCGCGGCACTGGTATCGCCGAACACATGCTGTGTTTCGCACACATATGCCCGACTGGATTTCGCGGGTTTGTTGGTGCGATTCACCAGGGTGTGGGGCATAAGGAGAGGCGGAACGGTGGGGGCAACTCCCGCCACTCTAGTTTACTCGTATGTACCCCCACCCCCACTCCGCCCCCTCCTATAGAACATCATGATAAGGAAGGTGCAGGTGCACCCTCATTCATTTTTCGGGACCAGGAAATTGAATTTAATCGGGTCTCACCTCGAAATTCCTTTAGCTACGACTGTTCCACTTCCCCCGATCGCGAACGTCCCACGCACATGCTTGTCGATGCCACATAAACAGACGGCAAAACCAAACACGTAAGCTGTAATGTAGCGAACAGAAACTCGGTCGGCCCCAGGGGTGGTGGGGTGGCGGCGCGCGGGCGCCGACAGGGCTGACGTGTCGGGTGCGTCCGACGGCCCCGGGGCTCTGGCTGCTAGCGTGACGCGTGGACGCGCCCATGCGGCGGCGCATACGGCACTGCGGCGCACGAGACCAGCGCACGGGCGCGCACGGCACAGAGGTGGGCCAGGCCAGGGCCCAGGCGACCAGGCCCGCCGCGAGGGTGGCTGGCTGGGACGCGACTGGCCGAGTCTGCCACAGGCGCTGCAGGTTGGCGTGGACCCCCCCGGAGGCGCGGAGGGGAGGGCGGGGACGGGCGGGGGTTGGTGGGCGCAGCCGGCACGCTTGCCTTGCTCGTGGGGTTCCGGGCAACAGGCCGAGCCTGCCTATTGGCGGTTTTCCAGTCCCGCAGATGGGGAAGTTGAATCTAAATATTGGCAATTGCCCCCTCCGCCCCCTCCTACCTCCTGTTTTTCTGGGGACGGCTCCCACCATGGGTGGAAGAAGCCACTGACCGACCGTCAGAAAAAGGTGTGTAAGTAGAAGAACCACCACCACCAGGTCATTTTCGTTTTAACACGCGTGATACGAAGTGGCAGAAGTGCAAAGCTGAGATTTTTCTTCTAGAAAAAGATAGGTTTGAATTTTCCGAAAAACAAAGTGAGTGTGAAGCGGCGCGGGGGCGGCTGTGGCTGAGCGCTGAGCCAGCTGGGGTCAGGGCCAGAGGGGCTGTTGTCGTCAGAGTCTTTCTCGCACGGGCTGCACTCTGCGCCATTTCTCCCAATTACATCACTTTCTCCGCGCCGTTATTCTGAAATCAAAGAAAAGAAATGAAAACACGCGGCCACGGCCATATGGCACCCCTTGTTATTTTGAGATAGTGGAGAAAGGTCAAGATAAGGAGAAAGGAAAATAGAGGAGGACAGCTCGTCCGTCAGGGCGTGGGTGGCGCGTCCGGTCGGTCTTGGTGGAGACTGGGCGCGCGGGGCGGCATCACTCCACCTCGACGCCTCTGAGCGACCGGACCGGACGGGACCCACAGCAGCTGCCAGCCCGACAACCATAACCACCGCCATGGACTACGACGAATACCCACAGTTCCCCAAATGGGAAAAGAACTTGTAAGTGCTGGCTATGTGAGCTGCTGATTATGCAATGCTAAGAGTTTTGTCAAAATTCTCCTGTAGCTCCACTCCGCGGATGTCTCGCATTTGACGCGGGCTGTTTTTCGTATCCCCTTCATACCTCTGAAATAAAGCACGCGATGATAACGATGTTTGGTGGTGTATGGAGGATTTTCACAGCGAGTCCTCTGTTTCCATACTTGACGATGAATATAAAAGCAGACTAGTACTCTAATCGTCAATTCTAATCATGAGTTCTTTTTGAATAAAATATCAAGTCTTTGGTAACGCCTGTAGTTATTCTGTACCGCACGCTTGCGTGTGCACGGGTTGCCTACTCGCACGGGTTCGGCGCCGACGTATGTCGAAGGATAGGTGTAGTTTAGAACCGAGTTGTATTTCAGTGTTTATTTCACGTTATTTCGAACTGTTTTGCTTTCTCTTCCGCATTTTGGTGAGGACTGTGGGCCAACTTTGTTCGCAAGTACACGGTTTTGAACGTGGTTTAGGTGACCTTGTGAGCATCCGTTAGGGATGAAAACTGTTGGATCATTCGGTACAGTTTTCCCTCATTTGTTGTTATCATCGACACTCGAGACGCTTGTAGCCCTAGAGGACACCTTAATTCCAAGGTCATCGCTGTGAACATCAGCTGTCACCATGGCCTTATCTCTGGCTCCCATGGCATAACACAAGACCGGTTCGGGTTCACGCCTCGCCCCACTACACCTCTCCCCCCTTCATGTACACTATTGGCTGGTCAGATCCAAAAATGGACAAACAGTTCAACGCGCTGTCGGATATATGAGTGTGTGTAGAGAAGGGAAAAGGGGAGGGAGGGGGGGGGGCGCCCCTGTGTGTCTGTCTCTGCGTGAGGAATCACAACCCATAGTGATTTCCATAGAACCTGTTACCGACAGCCATATCAATGGCAATGGCCTGTTTTCAAATCTATGGTCCATATGGTGATACATAAGTACACTTTGGCGAAGTAATCTTTTTCTCCACTTCTATGGAGAATGGGGCGGGGGCGTCTCTGTCTCGTGAGTGTGGAAAGAAGGGAGGGAGGAGAGGGGGGAGGCG